TTTTTTTTTTTTTTTTTTTTTTGTCATTTCCTTGATGTTATAATTCCTTCTCGATATGCGTCAAGACCGGAGGATTTGGGTTATGATTACATTGTTTTATTGCGACTGTGAAGATCTTGCTCTCCATTTGAAGGGTTTTCTGTAACATTCTGTCGAAATGCATCGGCGAGATTTTCTGTTTGAGTTCTCTAATTGTACTTGTTAATGTTGAACAGAAGTAGGGTTGGTTTCTGTGTTTCAATTTACGGGGCGTCGGACATTGTGGATGGTCCTTTTCAGTTCATTTTCTACCCCACACCATGATCATGAGATTTCTCGATTCTAATGTGGAGTCTGGTTTTCGTGTTTATGTTTGCTTTTTGCATGTTTCCAATTTTTATTTTAATTCGAACGAGTAAAAACTACTTCCTTTCAGGGGTTTGATTGCGAGTATCGGCACAGCGAGATTGCTAGGCTGAACCCCAGAGATTGTTACTACTGGCTGGCGGGAAACTGCTTGAATGCAGCCTGTAGTTTCCGGCATCCGGTAAGCTTATAATCTGTTTGTTGAAATTTCCCTTGAACTTAGTTGGAGTCAGTGACCGCTTAATCTATCTTATTTATATATGTTTCGCTTTGAAGCTTCATTGGTAAGAACACTTTCTTTGTATGCTGTAAAACTAAATTTCTGTTGGAAGGGTTGAACATTTCTCTGATGTTTTTCTTACTTGGGCATTTTTCCTGGTTCTCAACTTTGCATATGCCGTCGTTATGCTTTTGCTCAAAGGTTCAATCCCCATAACTTAGGTATCTGTTATCACAAATCTATGCATGTCTTGGTATAACTAAGGATAGTTATTTTCGTTTTGTCGATTTATTTAGTTGAAGCGAATAGTATTAGATCTCCCATTTTCTCTAGGCATGCCTATATTGGTGGGTAGAATTAGATTATTCTTGTTCTTTTTTCTTTTGGATTGTAAGTTTATTTGGAGAGCAAGTAATGCTGTAGTCGATTTCTGGTGCCGATTTAAGAAATACAATTGTCGAAGTGATCTGTTTTTGTTTACTTTGTTATGTAATAAACAATGCCGGTCTTTATAGACTGTTCTTAGAGCTAGCAATTTAAATATTTAGGTTTGGAGAATTTGTTGAACTTTGTTCTTTCCATCAACATGAAAAGGGGCCTTAGTCCTATTTCCTGTTGTCATCACCTTCGTACATAAATAGGTATAATCTGTGAATGATATGAGATTAGTTATGGTGATGTATATATCTATTTGTTGAATGATGGTGCTGTGTAAACATCTAATGGAAGCCAGGCAGGAGTAAATAGATCCCTACAGGAATTTATTAAGCCTTTCGAAGAATCTCATGCATTCTAGTAGATTGTTTCAAATGTTATAATATTTTATTGACCCTGTCCAGTACACGTGTTCGAGGTGGAGAACACAAGTAGCTGGATACCTATCATGTGATCTTTATTAAGGATGCTTTGTTCGTAAATTTATGCCAAATCCTTGAATGATTTATTAACTGGATACCTCCATCTGTTTATACTTTAGATATTAACTTTTCCTCTTTGTTGAACTAACAGTTCCTGTTACCGTTCGCCTCGTGATTATTAATTTAAGTTGATGGTCTTCTTGGAACTTTATCGTGCTCTCATTATGTAACAACATTGTTTTTAAAATTTGTGCTTTCCTTTTTCTCCTTAGCCAATGGATGGTGCTGCTGGAAAAGTGTTTGAATCTTCTCAATCTTCTGTACCTGTGAATAAGACAAATATTCCCTGTTATTTTTATTTCAATGGCTTCTGCAGTAAAGGCGATACATGCACTTTTTTGCATGGCACTGATATTACTGTTGCTGCAAGATCTACTAAGATAGGCAATACATCTTCCTCTGAAGATAAAACAGCTTCATCTCACAAAAATGGACTAGCCTCTACAGATGCAGATGCATTTCTTCAATCATCCAAAAAAGTAGTTGGTCCAACAATTGAGGGGACATTTCGGGAGAGTCGCAGTCAACCCTCTGCTGAAAATGTTTCGATTAGAAGTGCCTGTGCAAAGATCTCGTTGCCCGAGTGTGAAAAAGTGGCTGTTGATGAGCCTGTCTCCTTACCTCTGACTGAAGGATCTAAATATAGTAGATCTCATGTACATGTAGTTGCAGATCAGAGTTATGAGGAGCCAATGGTGGACAGTTCAGAGGACGAAAACCCCTTGGAGTCATCCACTGGCTTTGATGTTGTTGTAGGCCACGAGTTGGAGAATTTGGATAGTGATGATGATTCAGAGTACCTTCTATCAACTAATCTGGAGCAAAGAGAACTGGATACTGAATTATGCAGGGACGACGATGAAGACTATATTGCATATGAGCCCATGCATTCTGATTTAGAAGTTCTTTATGAACGTGAGATGCACACATATGACCATTTAGAGCGCAATTCTATCCTTTCCAATGACAGGAACGTTATCAGCTGCTCGAGAGGGAAACTTATCAAGTCCTTGTTTACTCGAAAGAGAAAGCTCACACTCATGAATATAGATTCAGAGGAATGGAATCGTACCGATCTTCGAAGTTATCTGCAGAGAGACGGTGTTTCTGGAAATGGTTCAATTATTGGTTTATCGAGGAGAAGAAACGGAATGTCTCGTCGAACAAGTAGAAACTTTGCAAAACCTTGGAAGGATGGTTTATATCACCCAACCCTTGGAAGAAGACTGCCATTACATGTGGGGAAGGTTTCTGGAGAATCACTCTCAGAAGATTTAACCTTTTCAAATAGTATTAGTGGTTATCGATCTTTTAGGCACTCAAGACAATACAAGCCCTACAGGTATTACGACGGATATAGATTTGCCAGACGACAACATCCGCTGTCCAACATCTCAAGAAGACCTGTCTCGAGGGAACCCGTTCCAAGGGATCATGGATTCAATCTGAAGTCGTCTGTTCCATTTAAAGGACCAAAGACACTTTCTCAGATCAAGGATGAGAAGAGAAAAGTAGAAGAAAACAGAGGCTTGTCAATGAAAAAACGTCATTCGATCGGATGTGCTTCGTCCTCGGCTGACTTTAGAGGGCCAAAACCTTTGAGTGATATCCTTAAAGACAAAAGGAAGGTGGAGAAGCTTGTGAAGGAAATAATTACTTAGCTGAACAATTTGTTTTTTCTTCAAATCTATGATGTGCTAATTGTGATATTGTCAAAAGAAATTAGATACTGTTACTGAATCCTGGGCTTGTAGGTGCCATAAATCTTGTCTTTCTTAGTTAGAGGTAGCTGAACCAGAAGCTTAACTTGATGGGGTCCCTCTCATGTGTTGACTTTGCCACTTTTTTAGTATTAAGAGTGTGTTCATCTGCCCCGGAGCTGCTCAATTCATCATACCATATACCCTTCAATTCTTCCACTTCACATGTTCAACTTTAAATATTAACATAAACAAGATGACATATTAGGGTGTGTACGTGGGTCTAATGATATAATACATATTAGTGATGAATCCTATAGTTTGTATTAACACTTTTATATCCTTCACTGCTTCCCTTTTATCTTTTCATCAACTAGTTTAAATATTTTAATAGTGATAATTAATTTAAAAGAATTAAAGTAATTAATTATAAATTAACATAAATGAGAATATATAAAATCTTAAAACATAAGGATTTAATAGATTTAATGATCAAATGAAAACTATATTCAAAACCCAGAGATAATTTTTTGAAAATTTTATTATACTAAAGTTTCTCATTCGTATGAAAATATATTGTTATTATCTTTAATTCAAAACATGTGATATTTATTTAGTGTTTGGTAAGGTGGGTTATAATTTTATTATTTCTCATTCTAAATTTTATGTCAAAATTAAATGAAAAAAGGGATGAAAGAAGAACATGGGAACTGACTTGGTCAACTAATTTTTTTTAAGAAAACTAAGTTTTGTTTTTTTTTTAAGAAAAAAAAGAAACAGAAAATTCAGTTGCCATTAAAATTTCCTATTTTTACCCAAATTGCATCGTCCTCTGTTTTATAAACCAAAATAAAGGCCAACAGAAAACATAACAAAATAAATAATATATATATATATATAATATATATATATATATAATATATATATATATATATAATAATAATATTTAGAAGAAAAAAAAAGGAAAGAAAAAGAACTCCCAAAAAGCGCATCTTCTTCTATTTATTTTCCTCTTTCCTTTTTTTGGGTCTCAGATTTTAGAATAAACATGACGGGCTTACAGAGGTCCGCCGTGTCGTTCCGGCGTCAGGGCTCCTCCGGCTTGGTCTGGGACGACAGATTCTACAGCGGCGAATTGAAACCCACAAAGCGTCACCATGAAGAACAACTTCAACCCGACGCCGTTTCTCTTTCCAAAGAGTTGAGGACTTGTCGCAGCGTCGGATCCACCGCCACCTCTGAAGGAACCCGATCTTCCGCCGTCCACCGTATGGAGGTTATATCGCCGTCGCCAACGCCAAGTATGGGGGACCCATCTTCACCGAAGTTCACCGGCTGCGGATTCTGCGGCGTGTTTGGCCGCCCCATCGGCGGGTCTCGCCATCAGAAATCCAACAAACATTGATCGGAGCAATTTGATTTCGTTAATTCTCTGCAAGTTTTCCCCTGGGATTATTAATTTATGAATTGTTTGTTGAAAATAAAGAAATTACACAAAGAACCAAATGGAATTAATCTGAAACTGAAACAACTGCGTTTATTCAAAATTAATTATATTTAATATCAACTTATTTTTCTTAAAACAAGAGACCATTAACAACCTATGCAATATTTAATTGCTTTAAATATATATATTTATGCTACTAATAAACTTTCAAATTAATTGCTTTGAATTTCAAAGTTGACGCATGAGGCGGACTAGGTAATTATTGGACATTAAAAAAGTCAACACGAACATGTTCGGTCAAGGACAATCAATTTCAATTATATATAAGCTTGTCCTGATTAATATCATACAATAAAAAGCTTTAAAACATTTATATTTATTTCAAGTGTTTAATCTTAACCCGACATTTCTTTTTCAAAATCAAGAATCATTTGAGTAAATAATATTCGATTGAGACTTAAGACAAGAAAAAAGTAATGTTTTTAGAATAATTAAATTTTAATTGACTTATACAAATTAAAAAAAGAAGAAGAAGAAGATTGCCGGGAACTATAGGCATACATAAAATATCATTGACTTAGTTACCACATTAAATGTATGTAGTTATTATTATTATTATTATTTTATATAAGTTTTGAATTTCTGGGAACTAAAAATAAAACAGTTTTGAAGTTAATATTAAAAAAAAAATAATAATAATTATTGGGTATTTTCTTTGATTTGCTGTACATATTCCAACTATTTTTTTTTTAAATTACAAAATCCAAAAAGAATGCCAATCTCTAAAGTCAGTTTGATAAATACTTTTTTTTTTTTATATTAATTATATACATTGAAATCGTTCTCAAATAGTATTTAAAAATAAAAAAAGAAGAAGAAAAGTAATCAACGTTATCAAGAAACCCTAAATTTCACTCTCGTTATTATTCACATTAGAATGCTGCTGATACGTAAGGATGTAGTCATAGCAATGCTACATAGTCAAGAAAGATATCTAAACTTCTAATATATTTGATTGAATAAGCATTTTAAATGTGAAAGCTTGGAGATTTGAACGCGTTGACGGTAGAAAAATTGCTAATGTGTTAATTGTTGAGCCGACATTTAAATAGATGACATATGTAATCTCTTACATATCCAAGAAGATTTTATTTTCTATATTCCTAATTCAAAATATGGCTGTCGAAACTTGCTCTACTAGAAAAGAGTTATAGAAAGATGAATCAACCTTCTTAAACATCAAATAAGAAAAAATTCATTATTTTTACCCATAACTTTGAACATGTTCGAAGAACACTAGCGCCCGAGTTTGATGCTAAGAAAATATATTTTATTTTATTTTATTTTATTATTTTTAATTTCTTAGCGCCTGCCAAGAAAATATATATTTTTATTTTATTTTATTATTTTTAATTTATTTCTTTAGTTTCTTGTTTTTATATATATATATATTTTAAAAACATCTCAATACTCCATACTCTTTTAAAATATATTAAAACAAGCTAATGTATAACTATTAATACATTTTATATTATTTTATTTATGATTTATACCTACATTTTAGTTATTTTGAAACAAATATTTATAATCTTCAATATTCATAAATTATATATATAATAATTTTAAAATATATTCTAAATTCTAATATATTTATTGTTTATTTATTTTAACATTATTATATCACAATTTATATATATATTTATTTTTTTAATAGTTTAGGATAAAGTCACATGTAAATAAACATATTTCAATTGAAATATTTTTTATTTTTTATTTATTTTTGTTATATACAATATCTTTAAACTAATCATTTTTTATTGTTTATTTAATTTTATGATCTATCCTTATATTTTTTTTAATTATTTCAACTAATTCTCAATAAATGTAGATATTTAGTTGTCTTTCGTTTTATGACAAGGTTGAACTATGTTAATATATTACCATTTTCTCTCGTTTGTTTTTTATTAAATTTGTTTGTTTTTTTTTGTGTGAATAATTATGGATTGATTTGTGGTTGTTAGTCAACTTTTAATATATTTCATAAAAATTTGACAACCCAATACTCAACCCCAAAATGGAGAATTGGATTGGAAAAGTTTCAGGTTGGGTCAACCAGAACTTTTGGATCGGATAAAAAAAATCTCTCAACTCAACAAACATATAAATGGTTAAAAGTAATTTGAATATATATTTTTCATTCACATAAGAACAGGTCTTATTCTTTAAATGCACAACCTATTTGGAGAACCAACTCAAAATTGCCCTTTGATCATGTTTTTACAACCACAGCCACACGACATAAAAAAAACCAAGGAATTTCATGTGCATGCATTGCATGGGATGCTGACCAGCAACTGCTGGAGCTGCATCATCTGAACGGCTGCGTTTTGAATCTGTTGTAGCTTCTGATGTTGCTCCGCTTGTTGCATACTGCAGAAAGGCGCCGCCGCGGTCGGGGAATCGCCGCCGCCGCCGCCAGACAGTGGAAGAATAGGGAGGTTCTCACAATTGCAAATTTCAATCATTAGGCCATCTGGGTCGTGGAAGAACAACTGGTCAACAAAGATCCCATCGTCTTCCACCTCACACTTCACATACTCTATTCTCATCTCCTTCAGCTGCTTCTCTGTAGCTCCCATGTTTTCGCTCTGAAACGAAAGATGATTGTCTTTAGGGTTTATCACTCTCTTCTTGGGCTTCTCGTCCGCCTCACAAGACTGCAGAAGATGTATCCCCATCCCGTAATTGTACAACCTATTCCACAAAAGTTTTAATTTTTAAACAAAAAATATAATTTTTATTAAAGGGGTTTTCAAAAAATATATAAATACAATAATACCATGCGCCATGGAAGGTGAAGGAAGCAGGTCTTTTAACAGGATAAAACCCAAGAACTCTCTGGTAGAAATCCACAGATTTCTCCACTGAATTGCATACTATTGAGATGTGATTCACGGCCTTCAGACGAAGAGGGTTCTTCATCTTAAATGAATAATCAAAGAGAAGTGGAATTAATTGCATTCAAATTGTTCCTTAATTAGGGGATTTATATCGAGTGGGAGGTGGCAGAAGCTTTAATTAATTTAATTTTTTAATTAATTTGAGTAGCATAAGTTTCTGTGTGTTTGATTAATTTCCAGTCAACAGATGTAATTAATAACTTATTTATGCAATTTTGTGCTTTTGACTTTGTCAAACTATAATATATTATGTTTTGAATAATTAAAGGGGAAGAAAGCTTCAATTATTTTTCGTCCTCAGATACACCTTCTCCATGGGAGATTCCTCAGAAAGTTTCTTCTGAATATATTAGATAAATTAGATAAATTTTATGACATTTTTGTTATAAATTAGATAAATTAATTTTAGATTTGAATTTTTAATATAAATTTCATTTGAAAATATGGTTTATAAGAAGTATTGGGGTTTCCGGAATTACTTTAAAAAAATAACAAAAATTCCGGAGACCTTTTTCCTGGGTCAAAAATAATGGGTCAAACTTAATCCTATGCATTAATAAGATCAATAACTAAAATAAAACGTCATTTAAATATAATTATATTTTGGATTTACTAATTGCTCCTTCTCCTTTTGGCCGTTATCCCTTCGATGTTATCCATTCGATTCCATGTTTATAATATTCCCTTTGATTTCTCAGACAAATTTCCCAACTTTGTTTTCCAGAAAAGGTTTTTAAAAATTTAATTTTGATTTTTTTAAATCAGTATTTTCGAACAATTATCAAAATATATAACAAATGTCCTTAAAATTTGTGACTTTGTCTTGAATTAAACTAAGTTAAGGTAATATTATACGACATTTGGCCTGCACTATAAATATTTAAATTTACTTTTGTATTTTGTTGTTATGATTGTCACAATATAATTTATATCCATTTTGACGAATCTAATAAATTATTAAACGCTATAATATGATTCTTATGATTGATTAGGTGTGTGATTAAAAAGTAACGTTTATGTTGAATGATTATTTAAAAATATACGTTATTGAACAATAAAGGACTATTAACTAAATTAAATTTGATGGGATAATATTGATAGTTAATTAAAGAAAATACGGTAGTAAGGTTTCATGCATTTTAGTGGTCGTATGTTTAAAATATATTTAGTGAAATTATTTTAGAAATTATAATATATATAGATGATTGTTTTTTTCTCCCTTTTTAAGTTAAATTTTATCTAACTTTGGTAAAGATAATTGGTATAAAATAAGAAATCAATATATAGAATTAATTTTTATAAAAAAGAAAAAGAAAGGAAGGCGTTCGTATATTTTGATTACAGAAAGAAAATATTTAAACCGAAAAAGTAAAAAGAAAAAGGAAGGAGAGTATTGCGCGCCGAAAAAGGGCAGTGAAGCATGATGTTTATCCAGAAAATTCAGGGACAAATCGGTAATTTCGGGCTTCACAATCGTCGGCTGAGCTCTCTGTCAGTGGACTTTCATCCCCATCCCGGACTTCTCTTCGGTTCTAGGGCTCGCTCCGAAGCTCTTCCCCTCTTCACATTATTCCGGGAAAATACTGTGCGAATATGGACGGAGACATTACAGTTTCTCTCGACAAGCTTCCCATCAAACGTTTAGAGGCCATAGAAGAAAACGGACTCGAAAGATTCCCATCGTATGTTCATTTTTTCCTCTGGTTTTACCCCATTTTTGGTTCCTGTGATAACTGAGGAAACATAAATTACTTGATATGCGTGTTAAGGTAGAAGAAGATGTACCTTAGTTGACGAATGTGTGCTTGTGATTAGGCATTCTTAATTCTGATTACGTTCGTATGTGTACCTTGGTGATTGTTTAGAGTGAACTCTGATACGAGTTTCTCATTATGCTAAATTATCTGGAATATAATTTGTCAATGTATTTCTCGGTTTTCCTTGCGGAGGTTGCTGATTAATTTCTCGAACGTTTTTGGTTAATTAAGGTTGGTTTTTGCTATATTGTTAATAGAGATGTAGGGTATGAAGAGAAACGGTTGTCGCTTATTCGGAGAATTGACTTTGCTTGGGCAATAGAGAAGGACGATGACAAAAAGAAGCAGAAGAAGAGCTCCAAGGAGAGTTCAACGCCGTGGCCATGGCAGAACATGATAGAAAACTTGCAGTCGGCTCATCAGGAGCTCTCTGTTATCATAGACCTGATCAACACCGTGAGTTTCTAAATTAAACGCCTCTGATTTTGCTAGATTTTTACCACACTGTTTGTTGTATAAATAAAATATTTTTTGTCTTGATATAATTGTAGGTGGAAGCTAATGATGCAGTAACAGTGGCAGGGATGACAAGGCCAAAACTATTACCTAATGAAGCTTTATCTGATCTTGGAGTGTCTGTAGCAACGAAACTACAATGCTTTCGAGTACTATTTTTATCCTTCTTTTGTTCACAGAATTATTGCCATTTCCGATTAGCTTGCTTTCATTGGGTTGGAGCAACTGTGTTAAGATTAATTTGCAGTATTATTCAGTAAAATTTCATCTTATTATCTGTACTATCGCTTTGGAAGTGCCTGATTTTATCTCCTACCCCTTAATCTCTACAGCATCTTGGAAAATATTTCAAGCAGTCAGCTAAAGGTTTGGAACGCCAGGTTGTAAGGGAAGCAAGATTCTATGGTGCTCTAATTCGGTAATCAATTCATTTCATTAATCCTGCAATCATTGTGCAATGAACCTATGTTAAAAATCATTTATCATTGTGAATCTGACAGTTTGTGCACGGTAGTACTCTTTAAAATCCCCGAAGTGTCCTGAAATTAAACAGTTCTATCATAAAATATAAATATTCTATGATTTGTATTCTTGGGCCTTTATCAATTTAGATAAATAGAAGTTTCTGATAAGATAACTTAGTTATGCCCCTCATATAGTCATATGTCATACTATAAGATTTATAGGATAAATGATCCGTTCTAGGTATTAATTGCCTCAATGAAGATCTAGATTTACGTATAGGGCATAACCTCAAGTACTCATTTTGGGATCCTAAGGTGGATGCTGGCAAAAAAAGAGAGGTTATTTTCTGTTAAGGGGTGGGATTAACCCTTATTCATTTGGCTCTTTCCAATAGCTATCTTTTTTTTTTTTGTATGCATTCAGGACTCGTGTATCTGTTGTTTGATCCAAAAAGCTTATATGAGACTTCTTCTCTTGGGAGGGTGTGTGAGAATGAGTGTTATCTAGTTAACTGGAGCTTGGCATCGTGTTGTTTGAGAGTGGTTGATTGGGATGGTTAATTGCTGACTAATAACCTTGCTGCTTTAGTTAAGTGGCTTTGGGCTTTGAAGTTTTTGTTGGTAGCAATCTACTTCAGGAAATATAAGATTATTGCAAGAAGATTTGGGGTTCAGTCCAGTAGTTGGGGTTCCAATCAGGCTTCATTAGTCTCTCTCATCATAGTTCCAGAAGGCCATTGCTTAGGATTTTTTGTTAATTGGGGAGCTTCATCGCAAACTCAAATGGGTAGGATATAGATGATCATTGTACTTTTCAGTTTTCACTCTACTGACAAATTTTGTTTTTTTAAAGAAAAAAGAAAAAAACCTGTCATTTAAACGAGCTCCCATAGTTCCGATATTGTAGGGAGAAAATATTGGTTGCTTCCCTGGAGGAGGTTATTTTCCATATTCTGTCAACCCTTGCTAAGGTTAGGTCATTAAGCAAGGTGGTATTCTCGAGGCATCTTGTTGAAGTGTAATGGGGGAACCTTGATTGTAGATCTTTTCTTAACTGGGAGGTATAGACTCCTTTCAATCTACTGCCACTTTGGGCTTCCATCTATCACCCCGTCATCAGGCATATACCCTATCTAATAATTGGAAGATAAGGGAGGTTGCTCCAAATTTCCCTTTGTATAGCTTTGTATGGCCTGTTTCCTTAGTATGTGTATGGAGCTTCTTCGTAGCCCCTTGCTACTTTATAAGTTGCACCCCTTCGCATATTCTCCCTTTCTTTGTTTTTGGTTCCTTCATCTTTTTTTTTTTTCTTCTTCTAATAAACCTTTGGATTATTTAGGGTTCGGCCTTCTTAATATTCTGAGCTTGTTATTTGATTCTTTCGTAACGTTTCATCTATAAATTGAGAATTTCCACCATTTGAAATTTAATAACTTTTAACTTCTGGAATTTACTTTATTTAATATCTAATTAACCTAAATATAACCATATATTAGTTTATTATAGTGCCAATTTCTATGCTAAGAATCGGAAACCTTTTTGTACTTCTAATGCTTTCTAATCTTCACAAATTTTCAGTATTTGCTGATGATGTATATCAGATTGCAGCAAAATTGGAAGGTTAAAAGGCAGCGTGTGGCTGCTGCTCCAGCTCCTGCAAATGAAGGCTTTACCATTGATTTATTTGACAGTTCATCATGTGACCCGTCATCTGTTTTTCGACCATCTTCATCTACGATTCGTGTTGAACATGATTTGTCTGGAATGCTGACAATTAATTTACCTCCAAATTCATGCCACTCCCTTCGTTTTGGATTTCTCAGTGGATGTAATGTAGAAAATTCTTTGGAACTTGGTAAAAACGAGTCCACAAATTCAACCAACCAGTCTTCAAATAAAAGTGAGAAGGAGTTTACGAATGACGATGCGTACATTAAGGAAACAAACTCACTTCTCCGTGAAGTTCACCATGCCATTTTCAGTGAGCAGGTGGTTTCTTTATTACATTAATCTTGCTCAGTATACGCCTTTTCTACTTTTGTCCTCCACCACATGATACATCGTTTGCTCTACTGGTTCCAGGTGTTTGATTTGGTGAACCGTGAAGCATTCAATCCGTCCTTGGGTATCAACGTGACTGGCATACGTGAAAATTACTTGCAATTAAGTATAGATCAGGGTACCTCGGTCTTCATCTCTCTTGTGCCATCTAGTCAAAGTTGCCAACTAGTTGATGGTGCAAATACCGAGATTTTGGATAATACTAATTTACCTTTTGATTCCCTTGATGGGA